CTGTGGGATTTTTTGGGGGGGCCCGTGGGGCATCCCCCGTTCCCCCCCGCCCCGTTCCCGGTGCCGGGCGAGCCCCGGCGGCTCCGGGTGAGTCACGGGAGGATTTGGGGGGGTCCGGGGGGGCCCCGCCCCACGCGAGGCCCCCGGGGGGGTTCGGCGTGCGGCCCCTCCCCCAACCGTTCCCTGTTTGTTTCCCAAAATAAACCCGGCGGCGCCGATTCCAGGGAATTTCCCTGACGTCATTTGGGGCGGGGTTTGGGCGGCGGCCACGCCCTCGCGGCGGCCACACCCAGGGTGGGGGGAGGGGAGGCACCCACGTGGCTTTGCCCCGCCCAGAAAGGGGCGCGGCGCCTTTAAGCGGTGGCCACGCCCCTCGCTGCGCTCCCATTGGCTGGCGCGGCTGCCTCAGCTGTCAATCAGCGCGGGGCGGGGCGAGCTGTCAGTCAAAGCGCAGCTGGCCAATCAGCGTGGGCTGGGGGCGGGGCTTAGGGGTCCATTCATAAAGTTGTGGCGGAGGCGGGAAACGGGGGAGGGGCAGGAGCCCCCCCCAAAGCCCCGGGGACCCCCGAGACCCTCCCCAAACCCACCGGGACCCCCGAGAGAGCACCGAGACCCCCCCCGAGAGCACCCCCAGACTCACCAGGACCCCTGAGAAACTACCAAGAGCTCCCCAAGAGCCCCCCCAGACCCACCAAGACCCTCCGAGAGCACTGAGACCCCCGCCGAGGGCACCCCCAGACTCACCAGGACCCCAAAGACCCCTCTGAGAGCATCCCTGGACCCACTGAGACCCTTCAGACTCCCCGAGACCCACTGGGACCCCCCCGAGAGCACCCCCAGACCCACCAGGACCCCCCCGAGATCACCCCCAGACCCACCAGCACCCCCCTGAGCCGCCGCCGCACCTCCTTTCCGCGGGCCCCGGGCGCTCCGGGCCGCCGCTGCCGCCGCCGCCGCCGCCTTGGGGCGCTTGGCCGCGGCCTTGGGCCGGCCCTGCGCCATGGCGGCCGTGAGGGAGCGCCGGGCACGCCGGGATACACCGGGGCGGAACTGCGCAAGGGGTGATGGGATACACCGAGGCGGAACTGCGCAAGGGGTGTAGGGATACACCGGGGCGGAACTGCTGCAAAGCGCGTCGGGATATACCGGGGCGGAACTGCGCAAAGGGTGTAGGGATATACCGCGGCGGAACTGCGCAAAGCGCGCCGGGATATACCGGGGCGGAACTGCCGCGAAGCGCGTCGGGATATACCGGGGCGGAACTGCGCAAAGGGTGACGGGATACAGCGAGGCGGAACTGCTCATGGAGTGCCGGGATATACCGAGGTTTTATTGCCGTAAAGACTACTGGGATATACCGAGGCTTTATTGCCGCAAAGGCTGCCGGGATGCACCGAGGCGGAAGCCGTCACCGCTCCCCGCGCTCCGCCAGCTCCCGGCACACCTCGGAGGGGGCGAAGACCCCCCACTCCGTGATGATGCCCCCCGTGATCAGCTCGTGCGGCGTGACGTCAAAGGCCGGGTCCCTGTCACCCATCCCGTGTCCCTCCTCCCTGTCCCCATCCCACTCTGCATCCCCACCTTGCTCTGTATCCCCACCCCATGTCCCTCCTGTGTCCCCACCCTGTGTCCCTCCTCCTTGTCCCCAGCCCGTGTCCCCCTCACCCTGTGTGTCCCCATCCCGTGTCCCTTTCCCTGTCCCCATCCCACTCTGCGTCCCCACCTTGCTCTGTGTCCCCACCCCGTTCCCTCACCCTGTTCTGTGTCCCCCCTGTGTCCCCATGTCTCCCTCACCCTGCTCTGTGTGTCCCCAACCTGTGCCCCTGCCCTGTCCCTCCCATGTCCCTTCCTGTCCCCTCCTGTCTCCCCTCCCCTGTTCCCCAGTGTCCCCTAAACATGCACGCAGTGCTCCCTTTGTGTCCCCCCCGTGTCCCCGTGTCCCCCGTCCCCGGTGTCCCCTGACCATGCACGCCGTGCTCCCACACCCCATTCTCTGTGTCCCCCCCGTGTCCCCTGTCCCCACTGTGTCCCCCCTGTCACCCCATGTTCCCCTGTCCCTGTCCCGTGTCCCATGTCCCTGTCCCCTGTCCATGTCCCGTGTCCCTGTCCCGTGTCCCCATGTCCCCTGTCCATGTCCCTGTCCCCATGTCCCCGTCCCTGTGTCCATGTCCCCCTGTCCCGTGTCCCTGTCCCCTGACCGTGCACGCCGTGCTCCCACACCCCATTCTCTGTGTCCCCCCATGTCCCCATGTCCCCTGTCCTGTGTCCCATGTCCCCTGGTCATGCTCCCTTTGTATCCCCTCCATGTCCCATGTCCCCATGTCCCCGTGTCCCTGTGCTCCAGCGTTTTGCAACTGTCCACTCATCTTGGTCTCCAAAATTTCCCGTAATGTTTTTTTCAAAACATGGCCTCACTATTTTGCATCATCTGACATTGCAATGGCCAAACATTAAGAACCAAAACATTCTATCCCACTGTATTGGTAGAAAGCAACAAGGCAATTTTAAATCATTGAATATTGACTCATTTTATTAGTCACTTCATAATTTGTTTCAACCAAAAGACAATACACACAGCAGAAGTCTAATGCATCCCATGTAAATGTTTACATCTGTTAAGCTCCTCACTCACCTATTACTCAGCATTTACCTAAATTTTTCACATCTCAAAAATAGGTCTCCAGAATTTTGAGTGCCAACAGGTGCCCTGCCTCAAATGGCACGTTTTTCACTTTAAATTTGGTGGGTTTTTTGGGGATTGCTTTTTGTTTGCCTTTTTTTAATCTGTACTGTCTAAGAGGTGGGATGGGGCTCTCTGTAAAATTTAAATTACAACATCACGAAAGAAAAAGGAATATACAGGAGTAGAGTGAAAGTTAAAAGGGAAGCAGTCCAGCAGCTCCTTCCCTCACAGCCTCCAAGTAGAAAATGAACACATAAAAGTGCACCAGCGTCAGTGCTGCTGCGGCTCACAGCTAGTACCAGCCTTAGGCAAGGCACTGGTACCTTTCCCAGCTGCTTCAGTATCTTCTGAATTATAGATCCAAGGTACTGTAAAGACAGTCCCCTCACTGCTATTGCTTCAGTAAGTTGTTCAAGGCCATATTTTGTGCCATCAAGACCTGGACAAAGTCGACTTTTAGGACCTTTCCATGTCTCCTCCCCCTTCAGGCCCATTATGGCCACTATTGTTTGTCATTTTTTGACTCAAAATACATTCACTTGAAAAAACAGACATCCAGTGTCTCCCAGTTCCAAAGCCTCCCATGCAGATACTAGTAAGATTAGCCATGAAGTCCGTAACTTGCTGCCTTTATATCCCCCTTACACTGAAGCAAGGAAAACGCTGACCAGACCTGTAAGAATTGTTGCATTTCAACCAGTGGGAAGAGGACTCAGCATATGCTTGGAGTGCCTCAGACGTGCGAGTGCTCTCCAGAGGAAAACCACAGCAGCAGCACAGAGCTCGAAATGCACAGGGGGGTCAAGGAGCAAGCAGCATTATCTGGTGTTGCAGATAGGGGAAGATGTGAAGCCTGGCCTTCCTTCTTGTGTAATGTCAGCATCCATCCCTTAGTGAGGAGGGGAGAGCCCCAAGGACAACTGGAATGTTTGGCTGCTACAAAGGAGTACTTCACAGCCAAGGGATGGCTTCCTGCAAAACGTATTTTGGGTACACGCATTGCCTCCTCCAGCTCAACTCAAATACAGGACGAAATGCCCATTTCCCCACAGACACAGTGCAAGGGTGGCTGAAGGAGCCAAGAACACAGAAAGAATTCACCCCGCAAGCTTACCAGAGACGGACAGCTGCTCTAGGGGACAGAAAACAAGCATGACAAGAGGGACAACATACACTGTTCCCAACTCTGCTGCAACAAACTGGCCAGGCGAGAGACCATTTTCTTCTTCCTTCCCATCTAATTTCCTGTACCAGTGCTCTTTCCCAGCAAAACCAAAGGGAGAGCGAGGCATGCTGGCTTTCAGTACGAGTGATCATGTACAACTCTGTGAAGAGAATGGTAGAGCTTATGAGGAGTTCAAGAACCAAGACAAAGACTTCCCATTAGCTTTTTATCTGGGATGCTCTCAGAGCTCACTGGGGTATGGATCTAACATGCTCAGTTTTCAACACTGAGTTTGAGATAGTGGGGCAATGAATAACCACAACTGCAGTGAAAACGATTAAGCTAAATGCTCAGCACCAGAAATGGACCCTGATTCAGCCATTTCCTGCAAAACTGCCTGTTTCCTGACGCTTTCAGCTAAGCATAGGATATATCTCTCCACTGATAGCCAAGGCATGACGCTACCACAACCCAAAATTAATTTTAAGGAAATCATACATTGTTCTTCTAGATTTTATAACCCTACACTGATGCCAGTACCAAAAAAAAAAAAAGCTCTTTGCTAATCCGAAGGCCCAAACCAGTTCAATCAGTAAGGTAGCAAAAATACCCTTCAAGAGAAGATAAATTTACTCCACTACCATGGACCACCACTTAAATTAGTGTCAGTCCTACATTATATTGCTTAATGAAGTCAGGACCAGACCAGACTGAACAACCCTCAGTGGCCTCCTGCTCCTAATTCAAGGGCAGAACAAGTATTCAGTTTTCCCTAAGTACACTGTGGATCACTCTTGCAGTATTTTTGGCAAGTACTGGAGGCCAGTATTAGCCCTTCTGTGGACACAAGAAGCTGTCTAAGCTTGCACTCAGAGCACTCAAGGATTTGCAAAGCCCTAGAACAGAACTGAAGCAGAAGTGCCCAACCTTCAGCTTACCAGCACACTCAAAAATTAAGACCTAAGAGATGTCGTAAGATACATCCTAAAGAGCACTGAACATCTGGAGTTTGTCACACTGTGCTTTTGTCTGTCTTACACATCACCTCCTAGAGACTGCCCAGAACTGCACCACCTCCCAGGAGTTCTTGCAGGGACATCCCTGAACACAGCTTTCTGTGAGCTCAGAGGGGTACCAACCAGACCTTGCATCTTTGGATCCAAATACTCAAACAACTGGCTTGTGTTCAAAACACAGTTTAGTTACTTTCAGTCTGAATGTGAACTGGCACATTAATTCTGAAAGGGGAACAAGGATCAACTGAGTAAAAAAATGGGAAAAGATCTCTTTAAACTGCATGGTCTTTATTTCAGTGCCAATATTACAGATACAACACAAATATCCCAGTCAGAAGTAACTCAAATGGAACCCAGGGGGTCTACAACAGGCTCTGGAAATAAAATTGGGGAGAAGTTCTGGAATAACCAGGAAGAGCAACTTTGCAGCATAGTCTCAGATGAGTCTCCCAGCAGGAGCAAAGCCCTTGCCCAAAAACTGATCTACAAAATTGAATGTGTCTTTTCTACCCATAAACCACAACTAACAGGTTGAAAGACTTTGAAACCGTATGTGGTAGAAAACCAGCTGCTCCTTTTATCTCTACATCTCTCATAACTCACTTCACTGTCTGGGGAAGCTACAGAAGACTCTGAATCTGCATGGCTGTGCCTACTGATGGAAGGAAAGAAAATTCAGGTGTAAGGGCTTCATTTCGAAGAACAGCACCGAAGCAATGTTACCAACTCTTACCAGCACCTCTTCTCCTGCACTGTGTTCCAGGTTTGCAGATGAACTCCAAAGGCCTCACTTGCTCTGTATCCCCACCCCATGTCCCTCCTGTGTCCCCACCCTGTGTCCCTCCTCCTTGTCCCCAGCCCGTGTCCCCCTCACCCTGTGTGTCCCCATCCCGTGTCCCTTTCCCTGTCCCCATCCCACTCTGCGTCCCCACCTTGCTCTGTGTCCCCACCCCGTTCCCTCACCCTGTTCTGTGTCCCCCCTGTGTCCCCATGTCTCCCTCACCCTGCTCTGTGTGTCCCCAACCTGTGCCCCTGCCCTGTCCCTCCCATGTCCCTTCCTGTCCCCTCCTGTCTCCCCTCCCCTGTTCCCCAGTGTCCCCTAAACATGCACGCAGTGCTCCCTTTGTGTCCCCCCCGTGTCCCCGTGTCCCCCGTCCCCGGTGTCCCCTGACCATGCACGCCGTGCTCCCACACCCCATTCTCTGTGTCCCCCCCGTGTCCCCTGTCCCCATGTCCCTGTGTCCCCCCGTCCCCGGTGTCCCCTGACCGTGCACGCTGTGCTCCCCCTGTGTGTCCCCTCCATGTCCCCAGTGTCCATGTCCCCCTGTCCCGTGTCCCTGTCCCCTGACCGTGCACGCCGTGCTCCCACACCCCATTCTCTGTGTCCCCCCATGTCCCCATGTCCCCTGTCCTGTGTCCCATGTCCCCTGGTCATGCTCCCTTTGTATCCCCTCCATGTCCCATGTCCCCATGTCCCCGTGTCCCTGTGTCCCCGGTGTCCCCTGACCGTGCACACGGTGCTCCCCGTGTGTCCCCCCCGTGTCCCTTGTCCCTATGTCCCCTGTCCCGTGTCCCCTGTCCCCTGTCCCTGTCCCCTGACCGTGCACGTGGTGCTCCCACACCCCATACTCTGTGTCCCCCCCCGTCCCCTGTCCCCTGTCCCTGTCCCCTGACCGTGCACGCCGTGCTCCCCCTGTGTGTCCCCCCCCGTCCCCT